AAGGTCACATTGGCTCCTCTGAAAGACTTTCAGGTCAGGTTCAAGGCACACAGGTCCATCTCAACATGGGAACACCTGGTTTAAACATGTTGTTTATTTACACCAAAGAAAGCCAAGGCATTTTGAGAAGCACCCATGGCCTTCCAGGGCGCTTTCAAGGGGAACCATTCACTCGCAGGATTTCCAGCCTCCAGGCATGTGCTCGACACCTGGGCCTCAAAGCACAGCCAGCAACACACAGCGCTTGCATCAAGGATCCGTCTTGATGGTGGGAGCTGCCTTAACCAGGGGAAAACAAAGGGGTTGTTCCCCGCAAAAGTAACAGACTTGAGGTCTGTTGGAAACCAACAAAGAAAACAGGTTCGGCCACCCCAAACCTTGTGCATGTTTGGCGGCCGTTGCCACTGGTGCTTGCTGGCATCTTCCATGATGGGGGCGAGGGCTTGAGCGAAAATCCTTTTTGTGGCCAGATTTTGCCCAAACTCCACTGGGGGCCATCCTCTTCCTTTGGTTTCCCTCTGAGACAACCCCGCCAAAAACGGTTTTCCTCTGAAACAACCCCGCCAAAAAAGGTTTCCCTCTGAAACAACCCCAAAAAAACGGTATCCTGTTTTAACATAGCTGATAGTGAACCCCCTGCCATAATTTGGGCATCCGCGCAGGTGCAACACCCCAGCTGCGCTCCTCTGCCGCGCTTCCTGCAAGCGCGGCGGCTAAGGGCTCCCAAAAAAAAACGTCACGCTGGCAGCTCGGTGGATCTAAGAAAGCAAGGTGCATTCATGGTCATCCAGTTCACGTTCATTATATGGCCATGGGTCAAAACCCAAATCGTACCCCCAGCGAACATCCCAAGCCCCACTGAAATAGACTAAAATGGGTGGTGCGCCTATCCCAAAATGGTACCATTGGTTTTGAACCATGGCCATATTTGGGTCTGATGATGTTGGGCTTCACTTGAGGCCCCTCCCAGCATCTACAGCTGCCTTTACAAAAATAACGCAGCCATCTACAGTACCAGGAAGAAGTGAACCGATTGTCAACTCAGCAGGTGCCATGTACCTGAATCCACCCAGCAGCCGCTGCCGTCCCCTTCCTGTGAACAAAATGCTAAAACATCGTGATTCGCATCTCAATGCAAGATCTATCATGTGGCGCGCTTCCAGCAACCGGCAACAAGTTGCTCAAATCGAAGATGCTTGGTATACGAGTAAAAACTCAACAGAAACAAGGGTGTCAAGAGACCGAATAAAGAACCTCTCATCATGGGAAAGGTCGCATACCCCTTTTGCGAGCTCGTTTTGCCCAGATTCCAGCTTCAGCAGCACTTCCCCTGACATGGAACTCACCAAAGGACGGTGCAAGGCAAGCCATGAAACACAGGTCCCAAAGCCTGTCGATAGGCTTGACAAAACCAAGAAACGCATTCAAGATACTAAGCTCCTCCTTTTCTTATGCTACAAAAGGATGCCAAGAGAGAAACTCGCCATGCACCATGCGGCTCTCTTTGGAGCCGCCCCTATCCCCCTATTCTCACTTCCTCAGTAGATTCGCCAATGAAAAAAATACACATTTAATTTCTCACTAAAATAGGATTCCCAAACTCAGGAACTCGAGAAGCAGGAACAAGCTTCCAGCCTCCATGGCAAAGCAGGAGCAAGGCCGCTACCAGCACGCCCATAGGACCATAATATGGATCCAACCGTGTTCCGATGCAAATCCAATCCTTCCAAGTGGTTGGTTTTTGTACTTTCTTTTCTCTCAACTGGACACAAGGACATGACTTTTAATTGGGGACCCTTTGGTGGTCATCGCATACATGGAGAGTTGTGTGCCTACCAACCATTTTGGAGAGTGAGTGTTCCACATGGGCAAAAAACAGTCTGCGCTCATTTGCCAACATGAATCACGGGTTTTCCGCAACAACAACAAACAGAAGTGCATGCTCACAGTGCCATACAAACACCTTGAAAGGTGTTCCTTACAGTAAAAGAGAGTTGGTCAAAGCTTGCAAGCTCCTCATTCTTGTGCTCAAGTCTCAGAGTGCATTGAGGCTTCACAGCATTGCCGGCAAGGTCCAGAGCTCCGGATGACGCACCATGCTTCTGTACAAATCTCAAATGTTCAGGGCGCTGCAGACAGCTTGAAGAGGGTTCTGGTGGCTACATTAATGAGAGTGAATGGCTCAAGTGAACTGGCCAAATTAACGGGGTTGCACATGAGCCGTTAGTTTTGGGGTTAACTTCCATGCTTTATGTTAGTCATGAGAATGATGTCTGGGCAGCCACAAGAATGGTGTTCCAAAGTGTAGTGACCGTAAGCAACCAGGGGTCGAGCACTTGTATCCCAACTCTTCATTTGAGATTTTGGTGACCCAACGAAACCCAACACACGAGGAACCTATCCGATTGCCCTGAACACTCATGGAAGTGACTGTAGGCCCTAGACCCGCCTCCCTCGCGTCCGGAGTGTGAGTCCAAACTGGTTGATTGCCACTCATATGGCCCTTCCCCCCCCCCGAACAAAAAAAAAAAAAAACAATCGTGTGGAGTCAGCTTCTTCCAACCACTTCCGACAACTTCCCCTTGGGCCCCTCTCGCCAGTCGCGCGAAGGGAGGCACCAGGGCTCCCAGTCGGGCTCTGGGCTGAGGAAGTCCAACAAGCGCTCCTGTCAGATCGAAATGAGCGGAATTGCCATCCGCTCGGACCCCGCGCGAGAGGCGGGCCATGCGAGTTTGCAGACAGGGACCCTCTTTCCTGTGAGGATGCAAATGGTTTTGGAAGGGCTTTGCCCTCTTTCTAACAAGCGCGTAGACTTTTGGAAGCCTATCAGCAGCTTGAAAAGGCCCCCCCGGTCCACTTCCATGCTTGGAAAGAGAGTACCATCTGACCCCCTTCAAGTAGGAACTTGGATGCATCGTTCCCAGGGTTTCTCTGGTGGCTCTCTCTTAGAACAATCTGGGAGCCCAGGCACCCTGTAAAGTGGAAACAGCATTTCAAGAAGTCCTTATATTGGCTTCCTGAACCATCCTTTAAAACGGCTATCCCACAATTTGGGCGGTGCTTGTCGCAAGGAAGGGAGAAAAAGGTCTATCCAGAGCCCACGTTCTTTTTACTTCAAGGAGCAGCAAGCATGGCTTTCCACCTCTCCAAGCAATGTCTGTGTGCTTCGCAATCAACCCATGACAGCCTGAAGGTCCCTGTAGCTACGTTACCCAAAAACTGTGAGGTTGGGGTCTCCTGGTCGTTGACAGCAAGCTTTGGCAGGCTTTGGCTGTACCAAACACTTCAACCCTCAGCCCTCTCTTCAACAGCCAGAAACAATCTGCCAAAACAGCTTCTCGTAGTCTGTTCTTAACGGGAACCCGCACCACTGGGTGCCTGGGTGTCTGAATGAACTAAGTAAGTGCTTTAGTCGCTTTCTTCACCCCCGACCCCCGCCTCCAGCACCCCGTCGCCGTGAAAAAACATCGGGGCTCTGGAGCGCGTGCCGGTTGCCCAGGAATAGAATGCCGATCAGTTCGTAGAAATCCTGGTGCTAAGCTGGAGGCTGGTAGAACGCCAGCGGTCCCCCTGAACATCATCATTCTGGCTACGATGTATGAAACCAGTGGCTGCAACAGGTCATGCTGCGTGCCATCCTGGCATTGCTGGTGTCGCAAGTCATTGCTCTGCAGCCATCGAAGCTGCGGCAATGCGTGGTGCCATCCAAGAGCTCCTTCCGCTGGGTCATGTCCGCCACACGGTCGGCTTTCAATTGCTACCAGAACCAACCTGCTTTTCCAGCCACCTACCACAAGGGGTTCGCTTCAAGCAAATGGACGCTGATTTCAGGGTCAGCTTCAGCACAATGTGTGACCCAGACTTGCTTTGACGGGCTCAGAAATGACCAGCGACAACAAACCTGTAAGCCTAAAACTCCCTAAACCTCCCAATTGTAGTAACAGGAGACCTGCAAAGCCACACAACAACCAAGGATAGTAAAGCGAAACGGGGGCCATTGCAGTTCAATGCAAGCGACCACTGAACTGCGTTGCTCGCCCGGCCCGAAGATTGCAACGCTTGAGCTAAATACTAAGTGGTCGCGACAACGCTCTAAGGACGCTTGCCTGAAACAAATGTCTTACCTAGTACCATGCTAATCAATCACTCAGGGCATGCCCCTGATCACGAAAGGTGGCATGCTGAAACCAAGCTTTGCGCCATGCAACACTTCTCTGTGCAAGTTCAAAGGGAGTGCTCTCTCCCGAACGCCAAAAGGAGGGGCCCAAAAAGGCCTCGCATCAAGGCCGCGCTCGGTGCGGGGCTGTGCGCGTCTTTCTCCCGCGCTCGCCGGTTGCTGCGCGATGCTGCGCGAGGCTTCCGGGCGCTTTCACGCGCGTGAGGGTGCCAAGCAACCTGTGGTCGGTGGCTGGGCGGCAAATCTGGCGAAGCCGCGAAATCCCCCACTGGCAAAAAAGCCATGCGGTCAAGGCCCTTTCTCTAGTACCGACATTCCGCGAAAATATCTGGTTTGAGGGAAGGGAATGGAAGGGTCTGTCTGTGTGACAGCGTGTGCGCGTGATCAGAGTTCAGAACTTATCTGTTGGCATCCCGTACGTTTCCTTACAAGCAGGTCAAATGGCAAGCCCTGTAGGTGACTTGGACATGTCTCCGATGCAAGAAACTTCAATGCATGGTCGTCCCAAGTGGAGCTGCAAGATGGAGCGGATGCATGGACATACATCTTGCAACTTGTTTCGCCCTGGTGTCAGACTCCGCCCAGAGATATGGCCATGGTTCAAAACCAATGGTACCACTTTGGGGTAGGTGCACCACTCATTTAGTTGTTGTAGTGGGGATTGGGATGCTGGGGGTACGGGGTTGTGACCCATGGCCATATGAAGAAAAAAAAGGCTCCCACAACCTTGGCGGTCACTTCGCTTTGGACAACTGAGGGACCTGTACGTAGATTCGACGTGTCTCGAGTTCACAGAGTCGGCGCTCGCCCGCGGTGCCTGGGCCTAGCGGTGGGCCACGAAGCTGATGTAGCCGCCCCAAAGGACCGCGCAGGAAGACATGAAGAGCACGCGGAAGTGCTTTGGCACAAACCTCGAAACACACTCGGGAGATCCCGGGAGCGCCTTGACCGGGTTTAGCGGGGTTCCTGCTGTTGCCCTCCCTTCAAGAGTTGTTTGCTGCCTTCCTTTCTTGGCTCTCTCTCAAAAACGGGGCCTGAGGTGTGAACATACGTAGCTGCCATGCTCCCAACGGTTTCCTTCGTCTTTCAAGTCTTGGGCGTGCGTCTCTAAGGCAACTTTGCCACAAGGTCAAAAGAAAACTCCTTCGCGTCCAGCCGAGGGGCCGAGGCCGGGGGTACTGGCAAAACGCTTAGCAAGACATCCGAAACAGGAGCCGTATTTTCGCCAAGACTGATTCGAGCCTGCCTCTGTAAAGCGGCCGAGCCGCAGAAGCTTCCATGTTGCAACCATAGGCCAGGCAGTGCTTTTCACTTCAAAACACAAGTGTCAATTTCCCCTGGCTTCAGTGTCCGTTCAAAACCAAGGTGGGTCGAGCTTCTGCACCGGCCGATGAATAGGGGGCGTGCCCCAATAAAGAGGGAAGCCTGCAGCTTTGGGGGAACACCGTCGACGTTATGATTTCCATCAAGTCCCGGGAGGGTAGAATTGAACTTTGAAGTTCATCTTCTGTGGGAAGACTTTGAACGTGGAATTGGGAGACCTCTAACTTTCGGTGGGATGGCTATGTATTGAATGGGAACCCGTGAAAACCACAACCCCCCTTGAATGGTTCGTTGCATGTTGGTTTCCCTTTAACACACACACACACACACACACCCAACAGAACATCAAAACCCCGAGATACTCACATGGAGAGATGGCTAGGAATCTCACTTGTTGAAGCATCAGAGCAAGGGAGACGCACCCAACATTGGTCACGAAGCTGCGTCAAATTGCTTAAAGGGGACCATGGCTGCGCGTCTTGAAGCATGGTTGGTAGGCATCAACTCCCCAAACGATGTCCAGCAAAAGGGCCTGAAATCCCTGTACCGTTGGTGAACACCATAAATAGGTGGCAAATGGATGTTCATCCACCCCAAAATGGAGCCATAGGTTATGCCCCATGGCCAAATGAAAAGCTAACCCCCGTCTGGCAATGCTGCCTATCCCGATGGCTCCAACCTTTGAAAAAGCGCTTCCTCGCCTTCCCGGCATGGAACATGAACGAGCTTCCCTGGACCGTGATACTGGGTTTATAGTTTTTGTTTAACTGACAACTACCATTTGTTTGAGCTATCTGGACAAATTGTGACAAGCTCACCTAAGGACTGCTTCCTGTTGATAGTTTTCGTTTCACTGAGGATGACCATTTGCTTTTTGCTATCTGGAGAAATTGCAACAAGCTGTCATAATTTGCCCAGGACTACGGCAGTCTTAATGCCGAGTGTGAATCGGATCCGGACTCTATGGCGCATTGGGAACTGGCCAGATCCTGCGGGTCCGAAGGACTAGAGGTCACTGGAGTTCCTTCAAGTTGCAATAGCGGCTTGCAATGAAAATGCCACGAGAAGCAAGTGGCAATTCAGAGACCCCCGGCATTTGAATTCTGGATCAACAATCGCAGCCCTTTCCAATTTGACAGGGGGTGTGAACAAATTCATCGCCGAGTCCGAAAAACAGCTGACTTTCAGACATGCTACCGGACATCCTTGCTTTTGGTGCATGTTCAGCCAATTCTAGTCATTCCCCATTCTTTCCAGGAATCCTTCTTTTCCGGAAACCATCAAACACCCAGGGGAAACAAACGGTTTTTGAAAAGAACGATGGTTGAAAAGAATGGGGAATCAACCCCCAGTATACATTTTTCGACAGTTCCCTCCAAACCTTTGGCTAAGCGTCATAAAGTTGGCCGCGTTCGCGGGCAGCCAAAACCCACAGGAGGATTTCACCAGATCCGGGACCTCCGTCTTCAGCTTCAGAGTCACCTGCCGAGGTTCAAATAATTGGCTAGGTCCTCCAGTAGAGAGGTTAGAGTAAGGGGGTAGCCGTTTTTTTCTTCTGTAGTCTATTTTAGCACGGGAACCCTCCCCCAAAAAAGGGTAGAAGGGCACTACTGGGGGACCTATCATTGGGCTCGGCCAAGTCGTCGTTTTCACGTGTTTAGAGCACTTTGGCTTTGGGGGATCAGGCTCTGGTTAAATGCAAACGGCAAGTGTCCGGAAACGTGCTCTCCACTTGTCCTGGACCTTGCAAAAGGGTGTTTCTAAATAGAGAGCCTCAAAATGGTTGGTTGCCTTTTGGTGTCGCTTTGGAGATCAGGTTTCATGTGATGAGTGGGAAGGACGTCTCCTGAAGCCATTGTAGGGCCCTCTGTTTTTCACAGGCAGTCTTCCAAACCTTTCCTGTCCACGTCCGTGATCGGGAAGAGGGTATCCTTGTGAGGCTATCCGTTCTTCAGGACTAGGGTGGGCCCATTGGCTCTAGGCAAGACTTCCACTAACTCAGAGAAGGCTGATGGGAGACTCTTTTTGACGGGCCCTCTGGTTCGGGCTTTCAACGAAAGGAATCAAACGGAACCACCCATGTTGGCGGGGTTTATCGATTTTTGCGTTTGAACCCAGGAAAGCGGGTTCTGTCAAACATCTGCCCAAGTCCCAGGCGCCTTCTCTCTCACGCTTGACCTGAGCGCCACTTCCAAAGCCAAATCAAGTCGCAACAACTTGCCCAAATCGGTCTGGAAACCAATGTGAGATAGGGTTGCTTGACAGCAAAGTGCCCTGTCAACGTCATGTTCAAAAAGTAAGAAGGTTAAACGACAAACCGAAACGCAACTGGGTTCAGGCCCATGAAAATAGTGTCGTGCTGCTTGTTCGTTGTACGTTCACCCTTGTCCAAGCAATGATCAGCGAAAATGGTCCGACAACAATATATTGACTGAGTCAAGGGCATATAGGGACTGGCCAATGCCCATGACGGCGGTCAGCGTGACTGGCGTGTCATGGCAGCTTGCCTTCCATTCTGGATGGGGTGCCTCTGCAGAATAACTATGTGGCTGTGGCTCAAAAGGGGATCCCAAAATCATGTGGGTATCCTTTTGGTTTTGCTTTAAACCCTTCAACAGCGGTACCCTCATAAATATCACATCATATATCATGCAGCATGGGATGTATTTCCCGGTATATGACCCTTTCCAATCCATTTAAATGGGTTCTCACATGGAATGGGCAGGTTCATTCCCATATGCTTGAATAAGCGAGTTTTGAAGTGACCATAGCCCTTTGAAGCCAACTAAACATCCAACTTGAAAGCAACAAAGCACGTTGGAATGCCCAGACCTTCCGCTGCCGTGGCCTTTTTCTCGAAAAGCGGAAAACACGATCCCTTTTGCTGAAGGTCTGGAATCCCTGGAACACCCTGCAACAAGAAGGGGAATGGGCCGGGAATAGGGCATCACCGGAGAAACAACCATAAAACAACCCCCCCCAAAAAAAGCGGCATCACCGGAGGTCTGAGACGGAACGGCAACCACAAAGCACTTCGCGACGAGGCGCGTGGAGTGCTCCGAGCTCTTGATCCAGGACCTACGCGGAACCACGGGGGCTTTGGGGCTATCTCCCAGGCACCACCGGGAAGGCAGAAAAAGCCTTGATTTGAGTCAAAGGAGCCGCAAGGGAAGCACAGGACAACGGGATTTTCGGGCCTTAGAGGGCGCATGTGGGCCGAGTTGTCGGGTTTGATTTCAAAACAGAATCTTGATCATTGCTTGTCCGAATTCCTTATTAGGTCCATGATCATTCCCACCAGCCAGGAAAAACAAACAACACGCCGCATGGATCGCTGTCTTACCATGGCCCGAGAAGCAGTTGAAGGAAATAAAGACGACCACCTCAAACTGTTCATGGCATGTTCACGGCACGCGCTAAGACTGCCGCCCCTCCGAATCTCTTTTCAACAGAAGGCTCTGTGTCTGTGAAAAGGCCCAAGGTTTGTTGACATCCAACGTGTTTGACACCGCAACCCCCCACTTTGGGCGCAAGGACTCGAGGGCCCAGCCCGAGAGCAGTGCTCCAGGTCAGGAAGAGCGCGCTGTTGAAGGGCGCGATTACCACCTCGCGGCGCGAAGCGGCGACGCTTCGGCCGGCCGCTCTCCGAAAGTGGACGAATGCCACTGAACTCATGCACAGAAAGTAGGCTTCAACTAAAAACAAGTGAATTTAAGCAGCTTGACACCAGCCGGTCCAAGTACTCGACTTGAGCATAGTGGAACAGGGGATGGCAAAATGCTCCCGAAACCCAGGTGGAGATCTGCCAGCCAATGATCCACAATCTAAACCCGGCCAAATGAAAGGTTTGTGGGGAACATGGTTTTTGGGTCGGCCAATAGACTGCCAGGACTTTAGTATGACTCTTTGTGTTGTCTCGGCCTTATCACGCCTGTTGGCTTGAAATGTGCAATTAAAGCCTCAGGAGTACGCGTGGCTATAAAGGTGTGCTACTAAAAAACCATACAAATGAACCAAAATACATCACGCGCTTTGCTGCAGCCCGGGCAAGCACGGGATATGTCTGGCTGCTGGGTTCTCATTGTTTAGGGGTGTCTGTATTACATCCCATCATTGAATCTCAGATCATGGCACCGCAATGTACACATCTCTAAACATCACATCAAAGACTGCACACCGGCAGGCTGTTTTGCCAGCGCACCAGAGAGACAAAGGCAGAGACAAAGACAGAGACAGAGAGAGGAGTGACCCCGCGCGCGCGAGAGCTTCCCAGCCTCCGCAAAGACCCTTCAGGTTGGTCGAACTGACCTGCATATAGTTCAACTGACCCTATGGCTGGTTCCGGCAAACTGGATCATTGTTCCCCAGGAACATATTTTCACAGAAAGGGGGTCCCAGCACTCATAGCTTTTCATCTTGATGTCCAATCAGCAGTCACTGCCAAATTGGTCTCCGCCTGGTTGCAGAGGGTCTTCCTCGCCACCGCGGCGAGGGAAGTGCCCGCCCAAATCTTGTCCAGGTACTGCCACCAAAAGTAGAAGAGCGGCGACATGCCTGGGCCACGAGCGGGACTATTGGGGGAAACAAAGGACACCCAGGGTGGAATTCAAAGGGAGCCTAAAAGGTCCCCCATTCCGAATTCGCCTTTCATGTCGGTCCCACGGTGCTTGGTGTCGGAAACTCGTGTGGGCTCCGCTTTCAGAAGCGTCCAGGTGTTCAGAAGCGTTCAGGCCATCCCTTTCAGAAAGGTCCCATTTCTGGATTCAGCACAGAAGTGATTCATTTTGCCTATCCAGTAGGCAACCAAAGGAACCACCCTTCATGCACTAGAGGGACATTTGGTTTACCTACCTTTTCTGCCAACTGGAATCAACTGGCAAATATGAAGTCAAACAAATATCAATGTATTAACAAATCCCTACTGCCATGCTTCAAGAGTCTCGAGCAAAAAAAGAAAAAACAACTGTCATCATGTCGCTATGCCTGGGCCCAAGTTTGTTGTCTCCTATCGGTTTCAGGAAGTCACCCTCCAGGGACGACTTCCCAGTTTCAGGTTTGTTATCCTCCGCCCAGTGATTGGTTTGTATAGAAGCTGCTGTGTCAAGTGAGCAGCATGACATAAAGCAAGACAATTGAAGGAAGCCTCTGCATCGCAAACATGGCGCCAGGCCATGTTAGAGGGATATACAACTTGGCGGGCTCCGTTTTACAACTGGGAGGCCTTCATGTTTGCGCAGAAAGCACACAGCTATAACTGACTGTATTCCAAAGTTCCTCAACATTTGAGTCGGCCCTCCATTTCCTCGAAAATGAACATTGATTCATGCTGTCAGCGGCTCATATGAAGGAAAGGTTCTGTAACATGTATCCAGTCCTTCCCACAAAGGGTAGTACGAGATCTACCAAATTCTCAAGGGGTCACTCCCAATCTCACCGGAGAAGAATGGGACTGAAAGGTCAACCCTTTGAACTTTCGGCCAAACTGGGGTGTTCAAGCAGGTCAACAGGTCGCTTTGGTAGCCCGTCCATCACCCTGTGTCCTTCACATCCACTGGAAAGTACAGCCAGGTGGTAGCCCAACAGCCCCGGAACCTAGAACCCCGCAAAGCCCTGCTGCGATTGGGGCAGAGACTCTAGTGTTCAGATGTTCGGGAAGAACTTCTCCAGCGCCGAATGTTGGGTGACCCTAGGCGGTTTCTAACAAATGGATTCTAGGATGCCACGCACAAGACTATCCTTGGGTGCAAGCGATCCGAAACCTGAGAATTAGAACCTATTAGCCCATTACCCTCCCACCAGCTAACATGGAAGTGCACAGACCCCTGTAGAAAAACTACTTTCCTCTTGGAAGGGTCCTTTTTGCACTTCCATGTTAGCTGGTGACAGGGTAAGGGCTTCCCAGGAACGTGTTGTAACCCCCAACTTGACCCGGGTCAGTCCTGCCTCCGTTGTAGGCGCTCACCACCACACCCCGCTGGGGGTCATAGGCAGAGCCGCCCTCCATCGCCTTACTTAACTCGGGCGGACGGCGGAACCCCTGGAAGGGAAACCATACTGATACCAACCTGGAGGGGGGGGGAATAATTTGGGGGGATGGGGGTCCACAATGTCCAATAACTACAATTCGATTCATAGTTGGCATGGAAGTTATTGCATATTCTCTGCTGGGAAGAGGGCTGCGCCATCAAACCTCACTTGATCGAAAGTTGAACTCCAAGAGGTTTTTTTCGTAGGGCTCCAACCAATTTCAGTAGATTCCCGTGGGCGCCTCCAGTTCTCTTGGTGCCATCCTCGCAAAGATAAAGCAATCCGCGGAAATGCATCCCCCGATCAATTTCAGGGACCCAGAAATCTTGGCAACTCTGGGCGTGTCGGTTGGGATCCTCAAAGGCTGAATGGCGACGTCCACGTTCTGTCTATGTACACGTGTACAGAAATGGACATGGGCGTCTTTTTTGAGGTACCCCTCCTTGGGATGGCTTTGAAGGGAAACCAAAAAACAACACGTCGTTTTGGGGGTCCCCTTTAGAAAGACACGCGCAGATCCTCTGGCTAATGGTTCGAACACATATACTCTGGTTTGATTGTTTGCCTTTTAAACCACCCTCTTTCCTGCCCTGAATGGCAAGACATCTGCGGGTGTGACCTGATACAGTCATTTGGAAATCTACGAGCGCGCCGTTGGACTGCCGAACGATGCTGAAAACAAGCAATGTCTGACGGCCTTGTGCCTTATACTGCGTCCTTTCCCCATGACAGGGGCCTTTGTTGGGCGAAATTCCTCACAATCAAAACCTGTGGTCATGTTTCCAATTGCCAACCTGCCAACATACTGTCGATTTAGCTCGCCTTTAAAACAAGCCCCCACTAGTGTTCCCTTCGACTTGTTGAAACTCCCCGCAATTCCAGAGTCAACAGGATTCCTCAAAAGATACATCCAAAACTGCGAAATCAAACAAAACCAGAATTGAATCCCCTAAATCCACTGGATTTAGTGTTTTTCTGAGTGGCCAAATGGTATTTTTCAAGGGACCCCAGTCAAGGTCACTTTTTTTCGCCAAAGGGCGAGAGCTGCCGTCCAAATGCTCTCTCAGTTAGGTTTGCCTTTTTTGAGCTAAAGAAATGTTGGCTCCCGCCCGCACCATTGCGAAACTTTGTCGGGAATTTGTTTCTTGAGTCATAATCAAAATTTTGCATGGTGTGAAAAGGGTCTACCCAGAATCATGTAAGGAATCAAACCGGCGCTTGCACCCAATTATGCTTGGGATTCCCCTTGACTAACCTTCATCTACCCGGGTTTAACGACTCTGGCACTCCGAAAACTCGGAGGTTTTGCGCTTGGAAAAACAAACCGACTCCGGCTCTCCAGGGACTCCAAGGCACCTGCACCGAGGCGTCCCCCAGGCCCATGACCGTGAAGCCCACCGTCGCCGAGGCCGCCGCCGGAAACCGCCGCTGAAACGCCACGAAGTGCTGCATGGCGCGTCTTCGGACGCGAAACGCGTGGGGTCCAACCCGAAAAGTGCGGCCCAAGGCCGGCCTGGGGGGGCTGAGTCGTAGTTGAGTGGGTTGGTTGAGGAGGGGTGGCGTGGGAATTAGGAGTGGAATGGCGTTGGACTTCGGGTTCAGGTAAGCGGCGTGAGTTGGTCAGCATTTTGCTCACAAGATTGAGATGTGTGTGCTTGAGTTGAGAAGGTTGGCGCTCGGCAGCGGAGTTCACAGCATGGGTCAATCTGAATGATCTGTTGTTCTTTGCCAAACTGCCATCATTTGCCGTCATAATCTTGCAGCATGGATGTTTCTTCAGCATAGGGAACTACAATGATTCGACGCCTTCTGGGACCTCGTGTCATGATCTGTACATCTCTTGTTACCACAGACAAGATCTGAATCAGCTCAGAGCTGGACTTCTTAGTCCGGCTTGAGCCGTGCACATTCGAGTCTTGAAAAGCTGTCAACTCGCATTTCGGACCCCCCTGTTGCATGCAGGGCTGGATAAGGAACAACAACAACAGGAAACGGCCATGTGGCAGGGTCGACGTTTTGGAACTTAAATCTGGGCAACGTACTGTCATTCCCAAACTGGAAAGAGAACCCGCTCTGTAAATAAAACAAATCCTCGTTTTGTCCTTGTGTCCACTGGTGTGCTTGTTTGGAATTAGAGGTTCCAAGTGGAATGAGGACCTGCACACCTATATGCAAGCTGACGGCTGCGACAGGATGTGACATGCAAGGACGGCGGCTTCAAAAGAGTCTTGCTGAAGCCTTGCTGGTGATACCATTGGTATTCCCATTCGGACTCACTTGTCACTTCAAGGCCAACACGATGACCTCTACTGCCTCAAGCTCAGAAATTGCACTCACCCTGGTACGGCAATAGATCGCCCTTCTGGAACAATTTTACTTTCTACGCGAATATTGTTCTATTCAAAAGCATAACGCGTTCATACTTGAAGCGGCACCATGAGACACTGCAATGATTGATCCTTCCAAAGGGCACAGATCTATCTACATTTGACACTCTCTTTCCAAAACCTGAAAATGGTGTTGTCAAGAAAAGGACCTGCATGATGGTGAGCTTGCCTTTTCCCCACACGACCATACAATCGGCAGGTCTCTAAGGGTTGATTCCCGATTCTTTTCAACCATCGTTCTTTTCAAAAACCGGCCCTTTTTCTGGGTTTCCGGAGGTTTTCCAGAAGGATTCGGATCCCTGGAAAGAATGGAAATGGAAGCGTCCCCTAGAAGATCAACTCCCTTTTGCCTCCCCATGCCCCCCACGATTCGTCGAATTTTCCAGCGAGATCCTTAGATCCTCCGCGAGCGCGCGCCATCCTTCCAGGTAAACAGCCTCTGGGATGGCCCCGTTCTGAGGGCCCATGCTCAGCTCGAAGTAGGTCTCTCCCGGGAAGAAGCCTACGGCCAAAAAACCCAGACCTGCCAAAGAAAATATCACCCGTCTTGGTGGTTGGTCGGTTTTTCTGGCTTGCTCAAAATGGGGGGGATGTGTCATCCTAATCTGTCAGACACGTATAACAAAAGAACAGCCACTACCATCTGACAAAGGATTCAGGATTGATTTTGAACCCTGGTCAAGGGGGAGCGCCCTACAAAACCAAGGAAAAACAACCACAGCAGGTTTGGAGAGGCGCGCCCCAAAAGAAACCACAGCCTAAATGTATGCAATACAGGAAAATAACACAACTTTTTGCAGGGGGATACAGGGGGTATCTGGCGCCAAACTTAACTTTTGTCTTATATAGATGTTATGTAGCCAAAAAGGAACACAGTTCTCCTGCAGAACCTGTAGACAGAAGGAGTCGGCTCTTTTCCCCTACAAGAGACTGATGTTCGGTGCCTAGGGCCTAAGGCGGTGTTCAAAATGCAGTCTAGGAATCACTCGGTTTGTGGAGTGAACTTATATCCCTTGTAAGTCTCCCCTCTCAAAACTAGAAAACTATGCGGGCCCTTTGCTGAGATGACTGCAAACTCTCGACAAGTTGGAAACATTGGAGCAACGCACACAATATTACGAACGTTTCCCCCAAAGGTCATGGCAAAATTTGGGTTTCTTCCCTGATGTTGGTGGGAACTTTACGTTGTACCCACATGTCCGCCCCAAATGAACAATAGACTATCGAGACTTTTGTCAGTTGCTTCTGTATGGGAACACCTTTGGTGTCAATGGCTCTCTCTACAATGTACAAACTCTGGAAGCTAAACACTTGGAGCTTAACGAAAGGGCGCGGGGGGGGCCAGTGGGTGTCTACAGTTGTCTCAAACTGTTGAAAGGATCCATGATCATTCCCAATAACCCAAAGCAACCAGGCCGTTTGACCCTGGCATGCACAGGAATCAAACAAACTGTGTAGCCACAAGGGTGTGTCTGAAAAAGGAGGACCCCCCAAAACTGGGGTTGTTGTCCTTTGAGTTCCCTTTAAAGCCACCCCAGAAAGGGCAACCTCAAGAAAAGACACGCCCTCAGTCCAAAATGCCGCAAAGATCCCACGCTTTGTGGTCGGATCTTTGGAGTCCAACCTGACACTGAATCTTGATGAAGGTTTACATGGGTCTGAGAATTGGGGCCCGCAAACATTGTTGAATTGTTTAGGGTTTCCTTGAGCAAACACAACACGCACATGGTAGCGTAAAAAAGACACGCCCATATATTGGCCTCATTGGCTGGATTGAACCCGCGAGGGTAGTCACTGCTTGAAGGGTCTCCCACGTCGCCGAGATATGCCGAGATACCTGGCCCCCTCAGCTTGTTCCATAGCCGAATCCTGAGCTCCGATTAGCGCTGCAGCACATTAGCTCGTTGGCCCTCTAAAAATGTGGCAGCCCCCACACCCCTGGGCCGATTACTATATCTGACCTGAGGGAAGCAATCCCCAAGTAAGCAACTTTCAGGCAAGGTCTCAAAGCACCTTTCTGAAGCCGCGCTTCAATTGGCCTAGATCCTTGTATACCGACGGCAGAAAGGATGAGAACTCTTTTCTCCCAGTCCTTCTGTTTCGGTACGGACACCCAAACCAGACAACATAAATTGCATTGCCGGCGGCTTCTGTTTCTGGTTGGGAATTTGCCCCAACTCCAATGCTCCCCGGCAAATGCTATATGGAACCCTCAAAAAGGGGGTCTCCCAAGAGAAGATTCCTCCAAGGTAGTGGCTTGTTGCCATGTTCGTCTGCAGGAGGGCACAGCTGGGTAAAAGACGGCACAATTGCCCCCATGTACCGTCAGTCATGTTCCCTTTATCCACTAAGGGGGATTGTGCGGTCAACCTTCACTCTGGTGGTGCATCCAGTTCTCGGCTTCACAAAATGAGGCAAGATGCTGGGACTTGGCCACCACCCGTTCGTGGGCCGCTGTCACCTCCTGCGCAGAAACTGACACCCGAAAGCGCCGACCCGTACTTTTCACCGTGAGCCAGGCACTGTGCGTTTCAAGTTTCATGGCTTTAGGGGATCGAAGGGGCGCGGAAATCGGCCATCTCCGAGATGTTGGATATTGTTGGATCAGCTGATCGCAAACAGAAGGATATGGGTCCAACTGCATGGAATCCAAAGTTAAGCCAAAATCACCTCGGTAGGGTCATTGGGAAACTGATCCAAGTTTGCTGGACTCACACAAAATGTGTTTGGCTTTTCTGGGCCTCCTTCACTCACGTGCGATGCCGATGCGTTTAGAGCGTCGGTCATGAAGATGTAAAGTGCCTTATTCACATCATCTAAACTGGCTGTTTTCCCAACCCTCGGAGTCTTAGTGGGCACAAAACTGTTCTCGGGTGCAGCCCCCCCCCCCCGGAGCACGGCCAACAACCCAAACGCCAAAGACGTGCCAAACAAAGTGCAGTGAGGGCCCGCAAACTGATTCAACGGACAAGCCCGTCAGCCAAACACATATCCCATCCACAAAGGTTGGCAGGGGTCAGTCTCGCATGCCAAATAACGACTTCCATTTGTCCAACATTTGGTCTTCCTAAGCCAATCCAAGAACGGGTGCCCAACTTCAGGAAGCACCACATGGACTCGAACGAACCATAGCTGCGGGACTAATCAATCTTACATGTCCGCTGCACGTTCAGCCGGCTTCGAGTCACCATGCGCAAAAGCCGACCATGTTCTCAAGAGTCTGCGCAAATGCAGCGTGTGCACACGTACCAATTACTGTATAACAAGTTGTGTAGCAAATATAATGGCAATACTGATAGCAACAACTAATCAGGACAAGGATCATGAGCCAATAGCAATAACCCTAAGCTAAACTCATTGATCTTCGATCTTACTCCTGTGAGGTGGCCGCAACACCCACCGACAAAAGCGCAAAAAGCCCGATCCTCCTCTGCGGCCTTCACGTAGCCGTGGACCATGCACGCCTCAGGCACCTCCGGCTCAAAGCGGAGCACCTCTCTCACCGCATCCTCCTGCAATTGGTCTCTCTTGCTGCGATAGGCAGGGCATCTGGGGGATTCCCGAATAAAGGAAACCATAGGGGATGGATAGGAGGTCATTCACTCATTCCGTGCTGAGCACCAACAAGTTCCCCTTGGCCACCGGAAAGCGGCAGTGTAAAATCAATAATTTGGCCTCCATGGTGTTGTTTCTGATTAGAGCCCTGCTCCCCACGACTCGGGGAAAACTCGATCCCCTGTTCATGTCAACTCACCCCTATGTCTTTACGGTCAAATAGCTTTAGCCTAGAATGTTCTGAGTGAATAGTTCCAACATCCACAAGGAATCCGTGCCCATCTCGCTTGCACACAGATGAGGGGCCCCTACGAGCGATTTCCTTTTGGTCGTTTGAGCACCTCAGCTCTTGTTGTCAAATGATGAGGAACCCCTACGGTACGAATCAAGTCCTTTTTGGTCTGATGGACACCTGCTCATTGAACAATGCCCCAAACCTGAGCTGGTCTGTGACGCCAGACTGCAGATTTTACATTGTTGCCGGGTAGTGGGGCAGCAACATTTTCCACAAGGCTAAATACGTGTAGATGTGGCTGTGTGCACTAGGGAACACCCTTTTGGATTGCGTTGAAAGGACACCGCCAAAAAACCAGCCAAATGTTTGGTCCCCCATTTCTGGACTCAACCCCAAAACGGTGCATAGGATGCCACACATGCATCCCACGTCCTCCATCAATGCACGCACAACGCGGCAAAGCTTGAGGTAGCGGCCCGCGAAGGAGTCCTGCGGGCGAGCGGCGGGCCCGTGGACGCCACATGTAGTTGTTGAACCTATTAACAAAAACGTGGAGCCGCATGGTTTTCGATGGCAAAGCAGTCACCCCTCTTGTCGCCTGGCTGCCTTTCTTGAAGCGAGATGTTCTTTATCCAAAAACGAAAACAGGGACACTGGTAGACAACTGGGCTCTTCAAGCGCGCACGCCGGGATTCCAGACCCTCGCAGGCCGGGACTTTGAGTCTTGATCCCCGCTGAAGGCGGATCATCCTTATGGGGGTGGCCCATGGAAGCTGACAGGCAGTGGATCCCAGTGCCTAGTGTAGTAGCTAAAAAGCCTTTTCAATTTGTTTGCTAAATGGTGCTCTCTTGGATACCTATAGGCGAAAATGGAATCATTGGGGGATGGTTTTGGAAGACATTCTTTTCGGGGAAGCCCCGCCTTCCATGGCAAACCAACACAATCCCTTTATGATGACTTCCAGAGCTGAAACATCAATCTGGCGGGGTCCCCAACTTTGAAAACTCGCCGCACTCCTGGCAATGTTGGCCACAGATCGACAAACTGGCAAATTGCGTTCTACAGCATATAGTGGACCCTTTCCCCAAAAAAGTGATCCGGATTCCCACCGTCTCATGCAACCAATCATACCCCGGTGGAGAGAAAGCCATGCGATTTGAACACAACATCAGCGGCTGCAAGTGTCTTCTCCATTAGCCAAGGTTCGTGTTACAAACCTAACCCTGAGAACTAAGAGCAGAATCCATGTGAGGGGTCATACAAGCCATGGTCAAAGCTCCAAGTATTGGCCGACGTTGGCATAATCCATCAGATTGTTGTCAACATCCTTGAAGTGCAATGATGTGCACTTCAAATAAAGCAACATTACCAAACAGACCGAAGAAGTCAAACTCGGCAAGGGCTCACTACAACAATCTGACGACGACATTTGCAAAGCCCAATTTTGAGATACGTGCGTCCTGATTCTTGCATACAGTAGCTCTAGAATGAGCCGACACCCAAACAGCTTTGCGCTCAAAAACTGGCAGGTCCTATCAAGCGAGTTGCAAAAAGCGTCATGTCCAGCCAGTCACAATCTTGGGTATTGTTAAAATCAAACAAACTGACGCAAACGCACACCTAGATACGCTTATGGTCGTGATAGCTGTGGCAACGCATAGAATACTCACCAGTCAGCTGGCATGTCCCTGATCCTCTGAGTTCCAGACAACACTAACATATCTATGGTTTGCTTCAGGAAGTAAACCATGCATCCTGACTCAACCCAAACTCCTGCCCTAAAATTTCACATAGAACCCCAAACAAAACCAGACTCTTCCGAAAATGAGATCCTCTACAAAAGATGTAGTTGGTTTGCGTGTCTTTTGATAGACTCCCAACAACCTGCAAAACCCATTAAGTGGAAACCATGTATCATGTATCTGCTAGTCATGACCTGTCCCCTTTGCAACGAACACTTGTTACCCCGTTCCTTTGCCAATAATCACTACCTGTGGGTAAGAAAAACAAATCAGCACATGGACGCCAAATCAACGTAGCCTCCACCAATAGCGACCCCCAGCCAAAACACTCCTTGTAAAGCCGGAACTGCGCCCGCGCATCCATCCACCCTGGGGCCAAGGTGAAGACATTGCCGCCCAGCTGCGTCCGCCAGCGAGCGGCCGAGCTGATCACGTCTCTGGTGGAGAGAAGAATTGCACCGGCCAAGCCACCGAAACCCTTGTACCAGGAAAGGTACACCTCGGAGCCCCTTTCGCCAAGTAACCAAGAGACATACCATGAAAAACCGAACCCCAGGGAAGCAGGTGGCCCAGATTTCTTTAAAAGCAACGTCCAATCTTTGCGAGCTTGACAACGCACGGACCCTGGGAGAAAAACAAACAAACAAACAAGCGGCAATGCACGTCCAGTCCTTTTTGTTGGGGTGTGGTCGCTTCCGTTTTGGCCGAGGCGCAGAATCAAAGAGGCCGCAGAGGCTCGACACGGGCAGCTGGTAGTACGGCTGCGCTTCGAAGAGCCTGGCCCCGTCCAGGTGCAAGCGAGCTTTGGCCTTCCGCGCCAGCGCTCGCCTTCGGGCGGTGGGGTTCTTCGGGAGACGGAAAATGAGGCGCTCATTTTCTTGGGCTTCCCTGCGAAACAACCCCCAAAAGAGCTCTCTACAAAAGGCACAACCACTTTTGGGGGTTGAAAGCAAAGGAACCTCCCAAATGCAGGCGATGCTCTTCTCAAAGGTTCCACCACAAACCCTAAGACCAAACCCCAAAGCAGAAACGTGACATTTGCCATGCAGTTCCCCCTAGTTTCCTTCTTCTGCGCGGCCTGCCTTGAATAGGTATGGTCCAGGAGTCTGCCGCAGAAACCTTTTCTTTTCCATTGGTCTGAAAACGAAGGGAGCTGTTCTAGTGGAAAAAACTTCTTGCAGGGCCATTGTAGGGAATGCTTGTTTTTCGACCCAAGCGAGTCAAAAGGCAAGCCGTGGTAATATAGTTCTGTGTTTTCCCTGACTCTTAAAAGGGCCAGAAGGTCAGGGAACAACCTGGCAAAAGCCGAGGGACGAGGTTGCAAGGTCAACAGCGCAAGGCAAAACGGGCATGCGTGTCGAGCAAACGCTTACAATCAGAGGTCGCGGGCATCCAACGGTCACACCCAAGCTGGATATTCATCACGAGGCCTGGATTCCTCAGCAGGCGACCAGAGCCACCACTTTAGGCAGATCAGAGTTTGTGCCGAAGGTGGGACTTCTTTCGAGCGCTGGGCTACAGCTCGCCGGAGGCTGAAGCTGGCGGCTTGGGCCTTGAACAGATTCCGCCCCTTTGAGCTCAGCCAAACTCGCTTTCCAAACGTCCAGGTTGTTGATGGCTAGCTGGCTAGCTGGCTAGGCTACAAACGCAACTGTCTGAGCTTGGCCGACCTTTGGCTCAACCTGGCGCCTTGCCGAGGCGGACAGCTCGCAGCGAGTGCAACCAGCCGTTTGGAAGGGGCCCACATCCCTCATTGAGAACATCCAACCGCCGAGTTTGCGGAGCTTTAAGCAAAGTGTTGCGACGCTGTGCGGTCTTGCAGCGCACTGCTCACATCGAAGTGATCGCGCTTACTAGCGGAATTGGAAAGACGCGGCCTGAAATAGCGTCGCATCAGCCCTTGAGTTGCTCGCGCTCTGACGCGGAGCGTTGCAGATCTGAACTTGTGGCGGCTTGTTCGCTTGCTTGAAGTACACCTCACGCGTGCCTTCAAATCCATCCCTTTTAAGTTCGGACGAGCTGCAAGGCTTGCAAATCTGGCCAGCTCGGTGTGCGCCCACCGTTCATCCGCTGTGGCAACTCAACGACTAGCACATCCCCGCTCTCGAAGACACCTGCATTCCCAACACATCTCGTTGGCTTTTGCAACCGCATCAGATTCACATGTTGGGCGCCAAGTGGGGGTTCAAGAACAATTGAAACAAAATACCCCTCCATACCCCTCCCCTTTCCGCTTCGTGGCAAAGCCAAAGGTCACGTTCACGGCTGCATGAACTGTTGCTCCTGACAGAAGGAAGCCAACCACAGGTCGCAAGACAAACCATGAAAACCGCCCAAACAGCAACCAAAGCCACCCGTGGCCATTTGCCTCTCCTTGGGGTGTGGAAGGCTTGGAGCCGTGCGCCCGAAATCGAATTCCACCGCCTTCCAGGTCGCTGAGCGCCAGCGGCTTTGCAAAGTGGCCCACCAGCCTAAGACTTCGACCGGTGACCAGCTGGTTGCTCCTTTTCTTGGTTGCTGTTGACCCCTCAAAAAATTTAACTGTTTGCGGGTTTAATGGGAAAAGAAACCTTGATTTCCCCAAGAGTTGAAGTCTAAAGATTCAACCCAATAGCACTCAAGTTTTGCGTAGGTCCATGGGTGGTTAAGATCCATGCGTCAAAGATCAACCTGTGGAAACCTTCTTGGATTCTTGTCAGTTGGGGGTAAAATAGAATACGGAACCCTCGCGGTGGGTGTTGTGCCTCTTTTGCTTTTACTGCTTGCTGGTCAGGGGCTGGACACAAACGTGCTTCCGGGCCAAACCAACGGGACACTTTTAACGGGCAAGACTCATCCCCCAACGCGGGACTGCAAACTAAGGAAAATCCACTGACTGCCCATGGCTTATGGCTGGTGCACTTGCACATCTATGCGCATCAAGCAGGGGAGCAATGCGACAAACATTGTTGAACTCGGGTCCTTAAGAGTTAGAAAAGGGTGCCCCGGGAAATCGGCTCTGAGGGGTAATGTTGAGAAGCATTTGCCCTTTGGCTTCCAAAGGAAACGGGGAGGAAACGAATGGATTTCCGATGAAATAGAACTTTCATGGGGCTCAAGGTGGCAAGAAACCCTTTCTGAGATCGCGCAAAAAGTGTGCGGAAATCTGCGGACCAACCAAACAACTCGATTCGAAGCAGCGGTCCTTTTGCCACCAAGAATCCTACACGAGAAAAGGAAACACCACCCAAGCCCTACCGAATCCTGAAGCCGGTGGGTGTTCGGTTGGTCGCCTTTGTGAACCCTTAAAGCCACCCAAAGGACAACTGAAAAACGAAACAATGGATGATCAAACAACCACAACAAAAAACAAACTAAAACAAGACAAAACCGAAAAGGGCAAACCACCGGGCACAAGACTGAACAAACAAGCCAGCAACAAGGACTGAGCGCTGAAAACAACCCAAACGAGCAATCACAAGGACAAATGGTTCACCAAACCAACCAAGAAAAGCAAAGCAAACCACCCAAAACCCCACCAACAAAATACATGTTCTGCTTGGAACTGAGCAACTGCACCCGGAACATGGGCAGCGCCTGCCGCGTTTTGGCCGCCACCTCCTGCGACTGCCGCGCGGCGTCCCTGGCCAGGGCACTGGTTTCAGCGCAACAGCAGCTCTTTTTGGTCCAAAAGGAGGAAAATCATCTAGGTCCTCCAGTAGAGAGGTTAGAAGAAGGGTACGCTTTTTGCTGCCCCAAAAAAGGGTAACAGGGCACTACTGGGGGACTTAGATCATCCAAACAAAGCCACGCATTTATCACCCAAGAGACAATGCAAACCAATACCAGACAACAAACCAGACAAAACAAGTTGTTCTTCCAAAAGGTTTAGAAAGAGGCCCGCAGCGTCCGAAAGCCGGGCAGTGGGCAGGCTCAGATTGGGTTCCATGTTAGTGGACGGGCGGGGTAGACACCACAGCGGAATGCTGGACTCTGCCCTCCACTTGCTAGCAGTCGTCAGCCATTTGTGCCATAACTTCTGTTGGGCTCGTGGCACATGGAGGGGCCAGCATGAGAAAGCAAAGGTGAAGGCCAAGCACAGTTTCGCCCCCAGCCCCTTTTGTTTGACCCCCCAGCCTCAGGTAGTCGCGGTGGATCAGGTGGCTCGTCGGGTGCAGCAGGAGCCGACCCTCAAGAAAGCAGAGAGGGACTTGATCGATGGGAGGCTGATTTGTCCATACCTCCGTTGTCGCTTGTGTTTTTCTACTTGTTGAGTGTTTGAATCACAGATTGCGAGTGGCTCTTGTAGAGCTTTTGGAGGGTACACCTTACAGGACTGTTTGTTTGGGACCCCTGCAGGCGTTTGATCATGGCCGCACAGGAGTTGGTTTTCTTGTGACCTCGACGGGCTGTTTTAAGGTCAGCCTCACAAAACGTGCAGAGGTCACGAGAAACAATCCTGGGAGTCTGTGAAAAGGTCTGCAAAGCTCCCAAAGAAAACCCAATCGCCAGGACTCTTGGGCTGGGCTGGGCTAAGGAGCCCCCAGGATTGGTGATTTTCTTGTTCTTATTGGGACCTCTGCAGACTTTGAGGTTAACCTCGCAAAACGTGGAGAGGTCCCACCCCCCAAGAGAGAAAGCTCCCTCTTCCCTGACATTCTGAGAGTGGAAATCCTCGTGGTTCTTACCACCAACTTGCATGTGATTCCATTTCCTGCAAGCGGCAACCAAAAGGGGACCGTTAAACAAGACCCATGGTGAAGGGCTACTTAAAACGCAAAACGATGAAGGGTTACCTGGATTTTATTAAACGTCACCCAAATCTGTCGAAGATTGTTTAGCTTCATTTGACAAAACAACAAAACGAAACATGTTACTCTACTGATGTATTGTTCTTCTTTTAAACTTCACCCAAATCCGTCAAATTTGGTTTAGCTTCATTTGACAAAAGTCGAACCGTCTCCCAAATCTGTGGATTTCGTTTAGTATCATTTGACCAACCCAACAAAAAAAGTGACCCTCCTACCCTACTCGTCACTCTCCACCGGTTGGGCCGTTATTTTTTGACGCCCCCGCCAGGGCCTGCGGCTGAGCCATGGCCTCGAAGTGGCAGTGCAGCGCCGCCAGCTGCGCCAGGGTGCCCGTGGGGAAGCACAGGCCCGCCTCCTGGCGGAAAAACAAAAGATGAGGGGGCCTTCCAGTAAGCCAATCCTTAGCTAGATGGCCATGGGTTAAAGTCTCGAAAGTGAACATCCCAATCCCCACCCCCGCGAAAAGTGACGAACTTTTGGTGGGTCAAATGGAAACGACCAACCACTAAAAGCCTAAAAAGCTAAGGGGATGACTGGGAGCCACCAAGAAATAAGCTCCAGGAAACCAATCCTTGCCTACTCAGACCTCCTGGGCCCCCAGTCCAGTTTTGCGGAGGGTGGATTTGCTTTGGGCCCGTTTTAGTAAGACGTCCTCAAAATTCCCCTCTCAATTGTGGAAACAAACTGGCAGAACCCCTCTCCTTTAGGAGACCCAGGTTTGAAGAGGGTGTACTGGACCTACCCGAAGGACTTTAAACCCCAAGCCTTTTGGTGGATCTCAGTTGTATATACCCTTTGTCTATGTTCATGAGAACCCCCGCACCATTGAGCAAAAGTGGACAAAATGGCCACCAAAGGTTTGAGGGTACCCCTTCAAGCCTCTACAGCAGCCAGGGATGATGCGCTCAACTAGGATCATCCAAAGATGTCCTGTTCCTTTGCTTCAAATCTCTGGCAACCAAAGGGCCTTGAAGGTTTTGCGCGAATGATTCGGATTCGGTGCCACCACTCTTTGAAGTTGAAACAGAAACGTCGGATAGAAACATGCATATGCATCGATTCGCTGGCAAGAGAGCTAATCAACGCGGCCAAGATGACCAGCCTGCCCCAATTGAGCGTCCCCTTCCTCAAATCGCCAATGGATGAGGTTGGGCACTCTCAGATTCAGTTGATGGGTTTGACTGACAGTACCCTTTGCGGGGTTGTTTTTAAGGGAACCAAAGAAGTTGAAGCCGCACACCCCAAACAGGGGACCCTTAACGGGTCTCCCGTTGGTTCCCTTTGGCCTCAAGTTGAAGAAGAGTCAAAAAGGGGTTGTCGCCAAATTAAAGAACCCACAAAATGGCCGATGTCCTTGTAATTGCCTGTAATCCATTTTCCAAAAGGTCACCGACCGGCAGACACCCACATTTTGCCTGTTTGCTTTATTCCCCTTGAACCATGCCCCAAAAAGAACACCCTTCAAAAAGACACAACTGAACAAAAACACACACGCACACACGCACACACGCACACACGCACACACGCACACACGCACGCACCCACACGCACGCACGCACGCACGCACGCACGCACGCACACACGCACGCACACGCACGCGCACACGCACACGCACACGCACACGCACACGCACACGCACACGCACACGCACACGCACACGCACACGCACACGCACACGCACACACACACACACACACACACACACACACACACACACACACACACACACACACACACACACACACACACACACACACACACACACACACACACACACACACACACACACACTGTTCAACCTCACCTATAAAGATTCCCTTTTGGAACTCCCTAAACGTCGGTTCCGAACACGTGCTCGACTTTTCCGCGGCTTCGCCTTGCCGAGGTCTAGCGCCACCTCCGCCTCGAAGCTTTGCAGAGCGCCGCTGGCGCCATAGACGTCCACCGCAAGGTCCTCCTGTCAAAACATGCCGCAAGAGTTCCCGGTGGTTTTCCCTCTGGTTTTCTTGTGGCGCAGTTTTCCATATGGTGTCCCGTTTTCCCTCTGGTTTTCTTGTGGCTCAGTTTTCCATATCTTGGCTTCCATGTTGGCTTGCCCTATTCCAACGGCCGGTTTTTTTTCCCTCTCCGCATGTCTGGAAAAAACGCCCACAATGTCATGTTCCAAAATGCGATGCGCCAGGTTGATCGAAATTGGAGCCAACGACTTCGGTGGACCCGTGAGGTTGCTGGGTTTCTTGTCTGCCCTTCAAAGCAAAACGGGGTTCCACATGTTGACGTGCCCTCTGTCCAGCATTCATGGAAGTCGGAAGTCTGCCAACACCCTTCCCTGTGATTCAGTTCTATCCTTGTTTTTTAACCCACCAGGGCCTGGTTTGCTTATTTACCAAATTTGTCTCAAGAAATTCCATGTTCCTGGCTCTCACGCAAAGCATACGACACAGGCTTGAACAAGTAGATTTTGGTTGTGAGGTACTCAGTTGCTTGACAACCAAATTGAGTCATGTTCATAGACAACAACAATGTTGGTAATTATCCAGCTCCTGATATTTCACAAGGAGCAACGGGTTGAGCCCAGCCTAAGGACATCACCAACAAAAACAAAATAAAACAAATGAGCATAATTGTCCTGTTGGAAAACTAGATGGCCCTGGTAAATGGATTGAATCTAATCTAAACCAGTGCTATCGATTTCTATCCAAACCAACCTTTAAAAAAAAGTCGCCTATGCAGCCTATGCATATGAGCGGTTCTCCTTTGAATTCCCTTTCAAACCACGCAAAAGGGCGCCAAGCCACAAGCCAAGGCACTCACGGTCGGCTCTCAGAAACTTGCCTGAAACCCTCCCGCAACCTGGCCCCCACACCCGCCCAAAACCCCAAACTAACCCGCAATCCTTACCCCATCCGCACACTACCTGAAACGTCATCCCGATATGATACAACTGGGAGTGATTCCACTGTCACCATGGAAACGAGCCTCACGGCTTCTTTTCTTGCCAGTGCTCAGGGAATCCAGGCTTGGGGGCAAGAACCATTTGGCATCTAAAGGATTTCAGGAACTTTCAGGATGGTTCACTCGGTTCCTGAAACCCCGCCCACCGCTTCAGTCGCCTGAAACCCTGGCCCAAACCCGCCAAAACCCCGGACCCACTTGTGGGAGGCTTCAGTCGACCCAGGGGCCGCAAAGGGGGGGTCGAGGGGTTCAGCGCGCCTCCTCCGCGATGTCCGCCAGGCGCCTGAGGCGCTTTGCCAAGCGCTCTGCCCCAAAGGCGGCGCCCAGGTCCGCCATGCCGTGGGATGCCGTGGGATGCCGTGGGCGACCCGGGCCCGCCCAGGCGGGGCCGGGGGCCCGGGCTCGGTAGGGGGAGTCCGGGAGGTGAGTCATTGAGGGGTAAGGGACAAGGTCGGGATGAGGGTTCTCGAGAGGGTCTGGTTGGGTGGTTGGGAGGGACAACAAACCGCACGGTTGCAGGGGGACTTGTGGGTCTTTGAGGGTCGACTTTTGGTAACAGAGAAGCCAGTGTTGATTGGGATTAGGGGCTCCCCCATGAGATGAAAAAACACAAGAGCGTTCCAAAAAAGAATCCCACAGAAACCAAATTTGCGCCTCATTGGTATTTTGAGACACCATGCAAATGTGTCATATTGGAGAGTTCCCTGTTTAGGGTTGAGGGGAAAACCAAATGAACACATCCATTCATGGGTTCCTCCTATTCTGAGACAGAGCCATATGATTCTATTCTGAAAACTTGTCCCGCTATGGGACACCTTTTTAAAGGCCGCGTTTGAAGGTGATAACTTTGTGATAACCATCCAAGCACATCCAGAAGGGGGTCCCAACTTGAGTCGAGCACCCACATGACAGGCCACCTTTTTTTTCTTTTTGGGAAAGTCTTGAGGTGCGCTTGGTGCCAATACAAGTAACGGTTGACACATTCCAGCAACTGGAAGGCCTGTGCTCACACAGCCCGCAGGCAATCTTGGGGCGTGTCTAAGGGTATTAGTAGCCCGTTCAAGGTTGACTTGAATGGAACACCGAACGAAACCACACAGATTGGGGCATCCCAGTTCCCATTCGGAGAAACACCTTGGGAGAGCTGCAGAATGCTACTTGCCCTTGAGCTGCAGGCTGCGGTCGGATCGGTGCACAAAGACACAAACACACAAAAAAGACAAACACCTTAACCTGCTCCAAGATGCCAAGCTCACCAACAACATCACTACACAAGCAGGCAATGAAATGCATTAACATAAAGCGCTGCTAACTCAAAAAGGCGGCTCTAGAGGCAAGCTAGCATCAAATGACTCTGCCAACCCGTCCCAACACTCATGCAACATGCCGCACACAGCAACATAACCGCAACATGCATGGTCCACATCACAAGCGGCTGGTAGCCCCTCGGCTGCCCAACTTCCCTGTCACACATGCCAAACCTCAAAAAGCAAAGAAGCATACAGCAGCATCGTCAGCAGCAGCCGACAAAGAGAAACATCCTCAGCCAGCCCGTCGCAACTGCTCTCATCAGGGCAGTCAGTGGAAGGAGAAGTATTGCTTGTTTCGTCCTTGGTGTCCGCTTGTTGCTGCCACATTTCTCACACAGCAAGCAACACAACCGCAACATGCATGGTCCACATCACAAGCGGCTGGTAGCCCCTCGGCTGCCCAACTTCCCTGTCACACATGCCAAGCCTCAAAAAGCAAGAAGCATACAGCAGCATCGTCAGCAGCAGCCGACAAAGAGAAACATCCTCAGCCAGCCCGTCGCAACTGCTCTCATCAGGGCAGTCAGTGGAAGGAGAAGTATTGCTTGTTTCGTCCTTGCTGTCCGCTTGCTGCTGCCACATGTCTCGCACAGCAAGCAACACAACCGCAACATTCACAAGCGGCTGGTAGCCCCTTGGCTGCCCAACTTCCCCGTCATACATGCCAAACCTCAAAAGGCAGAGAAGCATACAGCAGCATTGTCAGCTTCAACCGACAAAGGGAAACATCCTCAGCCAGCCCGTCGCAACTGCTCTCATCAGGGCAGTCAGTGGAAGGAGAAGTATTGCTTGTTTCGTCCTTGGTGTCCGCTTGTTGCTGCCACATTTCTCACACAGCAAGCAGCACAACCGCAACATGCATGGTCCACATCACAAGCGGCTGGTAGCCCCTCGGCTGCTCAACTTCCCTGTCATACATGCCAAACCTCAAAAGGCAGAGGAACATACAGCAGCATTGTCAGAGTCGGCCGACAAAGGGAAACATCCTCAGCCAGCCCGTCGCAACTGCTCTCATCAGGGCAGTCAGTGGAAGGAGAAGTATTGCTTGTTTCGTCCTTGGTGTCCGCCTGTTGCTGCCACATTTCTCACACAGCAAGCAACACAACCGCAACATGCATGGTCCTGTCACACATGCCAAACCTCAAAAAGCAAAGAAGCATACAGTAGCATTGTCATCTTCAACCGACAAAGGGAAACATCCTCAGCCAGCCCGTCGCAACTGCTCTCATCAGGGCAGTCAGTGGAAGGAGAAGTATTGCTTGTTTCGTCCTTGGTGTCCGCTTGTTGCTGCCGAAATTCTCACACAGCAAGCAACACAAACGCAACATGCAAGAACCACATCACAAGCAGCTGGTAGCCCCTCGGCTGCCCAATTTCCCTGTCACACATGCCACACCGCAAAGAGCAAAGAAGCATACAGCAGCATCGTCAGCAGCAGCCGACAAAGAGAAACATCCTCAGCCAGCCCGTCGCAACTGCTCTCATCAGGGCAGTCAGTGGAAGGAGAAGTATTGCTTGTTTCGTCCTTGGTGTCCGCTTGTTGCTGCCACATTTCTCACACAGCAAGCAACACAACCGCAACATGCATGGTCCACATCACAAGCGGCTGGTAGCCCCTCGGCTGCCCAACTTCCCTGTCACACATGCCAAACCTCAAACAGCAAAGAAACATACAGTAGCATTGTCAGCAACATGTCTTTAAAGAATATCCTCAGCCAGCCCGTCGCAACTGCTCTCATCAGGGCAGTCAGTGGAAGGAGAAGTATTGCTTGTTTCGTCCTTGTCCGCTTGTTGCTGCCACATTTCTTACACAGCAAGCAACACAAACGCAACATGCATGGTCCACATCACAAGCGGCTGGTAGCCCCTCGGCTGCCCAACTTCCCTGTCACACATGCCAAACCTCAAAAAGCAAAGAAGCATACAGCAGCATCGTCAGCAGCAGCCGACAAAGAGAAACATCCTCAGCCAGGCCGTCGCAACTGCTCTCATCAGGGCAGTCAGTGGAAGGAGAAGTATTGCTTGTTTCGTCCTCGGTGTCCTCTCAGCTGCCACATGCCTCAAACAGCAACAATACAACCGCAACATGCAAGAACCACATCACAAGCGGCTGGTAGCCCCTCGGCTGCCCAACTTCCCTGTCACACATGCCAAACCTCAAAAAGCAAAGAAGCATACAGCAGCATCGTCAGCAGCAGCCGACAAAGAGAAACATCCTCAGCCAGCCCGTCGCAACTGCTCTCATCAGGGCAGTCAGTGGAAGGAGAAGTATTGCTTGTTTCGTCCTTGGTGTCTGCTTGTTGCTGCCACATTTCTCACACAGCAAGCAACACAACCGCAACATGCATGGTCCACACCACAAGCACCACAAGCGGCTGGTAGCCCCTCGGCTGCCCAACTTCCCTGTCACACATGCCAAACCTCAAAAAGCAAAGCAGCATACAGCAGCATCGTCAGCATCCGCCGACAAAGAGGAACATCCTCAGCCAGCCCGTCGCAACTGCTCTCATCAGGGCAGTCAGTGGAAGGAGAAGTATTGCTTGTTTCGTCCTTGGTGTCCGCTTGCTGCTGCCACATTTCTCGCACAGCAAGCAACACAACCGCAACATGCAAGAACCACATCACAAGCGGCTGGTAGCCCCTCGGCTGCCCAACTTCCCTGTCACACATGCCAAACCTCAAAAAGCAAAGAAGCATACAGCAGCATCGTCAGCAGCAGCCGACAAAGAGGAACATCCTCAGCCAGCCCGTCGCAACTGCTCTCATCAGGGCAGTCAGTGGAAGGAGAAGTATTGCTTGTTTCGTCCTGTCCGCTTGTTGCTGCCACATTTCTCAGCACAGCAAGCAACACAACCGCAACATGCAAGAACCACATCACAAGCGGCTGGTAGCCCCTCGGCTGCCCAACTTCCCTGTCACACATGCCAAACCTCAAAAAGCAAAGAAGCATACAGCAGCATCGTCAGCAGCAGCCGACAAAGAGGAACATCCTCAGCCAGCCCGTCGCAACTGCTCTCATCAGGGCAGTCAGTGGAAGGAGAAGTATTGCTTGTTTCGTCCTTGGTGTCCGCTTGTTGCTGCCACATTTCTCACACAGCAAGCAACACAACCGCAACATGCAAGAACCACATCACAAGCGGCTGGTAGCCCCTCGGCTGCCCAACTTCCCTGTCTCACATGCCAAACCTCAAAAAGCAAAGAAGCATACAGCAGCATCGTCAGCAGCAGCCGACAAAGAGAAACATCCTCAGCCAGCCCGTCGCAACTGCTCTCATCAGGGCAGTCAGTGGAAGGAGAAGTATTGCTTGTTTCGTCCTTGTCCGCTTGTTGCTGCCACATTTCTTACACAGCAAGCAACACAAACGCAACATGCATGGTCCACATCACAAGCGGCTGGTAGCCCCTCGGCTGCCCAACTTCCCTGTCACACATGCCAAACCTCAAAAAGCAAAGAAGCATACAGCAGCATCGTCAGCAGCAGCCGACAAAGAGAAACATCCTCAGCCAGGCCGTCGCAACTGCTCTCATCAGGGCAGTCAGTGGAAGGAGAAGTATTGCTTGTTTCGTCCTCGGTGTCCTCTCAGCTGCCACATGCCTCAAACAGCAACAATACAACCGCAACATGCAAGAACCACATCACAAGCGGCTGGTAGCCCCTCGGCTGCCCAACTTCCCTGTCACACATGCCAAACCTCAAAAAGCAAAGAAGCATACAGCAGCATCGTCAGCAGCAGCCGACAAAGAGAAACATCCTCAGCCAGCCCGTCGCAACTGCTCTCATCAGGGCAGTCAGTGGAAGGAGAAGTATTGCTTGTTTTGTCCTTGGTGTCCGCTTGTTGCTGCCACATTTCTCACACAGCAAGCAACACAACCGCAACATGCATGGTCCACACCACAAGCACCACAAGCGGCTGGTAGCCCCTCGGCTGCCCAACTTCCCTGTCACACATGCCAAACCTCAAAAAGCAAAGCAGCATACAGCAGCATCGTCAGCATCCGCCGACAAAGAGGAACATCCTCAGCCAGCCCGTCGCAACTGCTCTCATCAGGGCAGTCAGTGGAAGGAGAAGTATTGCTTGTTTCGTCCTTGGTGTCCGCTTGTTGCTGCCACATTTCTCACACAGCAAGCAACACAACCGCAACATGCAAGAACCACATCACAAGCGGCTGGTAGCCCCTCGGCTGCCCAACTTCCCTGTCACACATGGCAAACCAAGCATACAGCAGCATCGTCAGCAGCAGCCGACAAAGAGGAACATCCTCAGCCAGCCCGTCGCAACTGCTCTCATCAGGGCAGTCAGTGGAAGGAGAAGTATTGCTTGTTTCGTCCTCGGTGTCCTCTCAGCTGCCACATGCCTCAAACAGCAACAATACAACCGCAACATGCAAGAACCACATCACAAGCGGCCGGTAGCCCCTCGGCTGCCCAACTTCCCTGTCACACATGCCAAACCTCAAAAAGCAAAGAAGCATACAGCAGCATCGTCAGCAGCAGCCGACAAAGAGAAACATCCTCAGCCAGCCCGTCGCAACTGCTCTCATCAGGGCAGTCAGTGGAAGGAGAAGTATTGCTTGTTTCGTCCTTGGTGTCCGCTTGTTGCTGCCACATTTCTCACACAGCAAGCAACACAACCGCAACATGCAAGAACCACATCACAAGCGGCTGGTAGCCCCTCGGCTGCCCAACTTCCCTGTCACACATGCCAAACCAAGCATACAGCAGCATCGTCAGCAGCAGCCGACAAAGAGGAACATCCTCAGCCAGCCCGTCGCAACTGCTCTCATCAGGGCAGTCAGTGGAAGGAGAAGTATTGCTTGTTTCGTCCTTGGTGTCCGCTTGTTGCTGCCACATTTCTCACACAGCAAGCAACACAACCGCAACATGCATGGTCCACATCACAAGCGGCTGGTAGCCCCTCGGCTGCCCAACTTCCCTGTCACACATGCCAAACCTCAAAAAGCAAAGAAGCATACAGCAGCATCGTCAGCAGCAGCCGACAAAGAGAAACATCCTCAGCCAGCCCGTCGCAACTGCTCTCATCAGGGCAGTCAGTGGAAGGAGAAGTATTGCTTGTTTCGTCCTTGGTGTCCGCTTGTTGCTGCCACATTTCTCACACAGCAAGCAACACAACCGCAACATGCAAGAACCACATCACAAGCGGCTGGTAGCCCCTCGGCTGCCCAACTTCCCTGTCACACATGCCAAACCTCAAAAAGCAAAGAAGCATACAGCAGCATCGTCAGCAGCAGCCGACAAAGAGAAACATCCTCAGCCAGCCCGTCGCAACTGCTCTCATCAGGGCAGTCAGTGGAAGGAGAAGTATTGCTTGTTTCGTCCTTGGTGTCCTCTTTGCAAGCAATACAACCGCAACATGCAAGAAACACATCAAGAGCAGCTGATAGCTCCGCGGCTGCCCAACTTCCCTGTCACACATGCAAGACCTCAAGCGGCAGAGAAACATACAGCAGCACAG